TCAACTTCTTTTGTTGCAATAGCTCACCTTAAGCGTGTAATATACCCTTTACACCCTCGAGGTCAGAGTATTATGAGTAAAATATGCAAAGGGAATATGGGCCAACATTTGTATCACTTATTTTTTATTTATTTTTTGTTTTCCTTAGCGCTGCCCAGCCCCCTGTTGGGAGGAGGCGAGTCTGTGGCAAGTCAGAGGCTTTGGCTGTCTGCTTGAAAGGTGTGTGTGTGTGCCACATTATAAATTTCCTTCGTTTACCTTTCATTCCCGCGGCCAACCAGATATTAATGGCTGCGACTGACAGTCTTGTATGCCACGATATTACCAACCAGCTGTTGGGAGGGGGGAACAGAAAATTCCGTTCAATGACTGCGTCGACATTATTTCCATTATACCCATTTAGTTGTCGCTGCGTGCACTAAGCTTATCCATTGACGACAGCAATTTGCGGTCCTGCGGCGCAGCCTGGGCAGCTTGGGGCAGCTTGGGGCAACAGACGGACAATAGTTGGCTCTGTTTAATGCCCAATTGGCATTACAATGGCTGCTCGCGCAATTGAATTGGCTGCTTGCAGTGCATTGAACCTGCCCGTCCAGAACTCAATTGGCATTCCTCAGCGTCTCAGTTATCGTCTCCCGTCTCCCTGACTATCCCCCCCGGTTCTGTCTGTCTTCTATCTCTGGCTGTCGCCAGTCTCGGGGGCTGGCGTCGCATAGCGTCATTTTTACCTTAAACTATGCAACCATTTTGCAAAGCTATTTAGTCGGGCGACATTCTACGCCCTCTAAGGTAAATGAAGTCATAGTCATTATTATTGCACACACCTTGTGAATACACTGGGTACATTGGTTACCATTTCCATGTCCCAAGTGCGCCCCTCTGTTCCACCCGCGCTAAAAATAAATGCAATTTATTGTTGCCCATTTGCCAAAAAAACAAAAAGTGAAAGAGCATTCGCCAAAAAAAAGTCAAAAAAATAGGGAAGACAGCTCGCAAATTGCACAATCGCAATGCATGTGTTATAAATTTAAAGAAAATAAAAAATAAAAATGAGCCATAATAATAAAAAAAAATTTAAAATCGAGCATGTCAGCGACAGCAACAACAACAAAAGATAAAGGCAAAGTCAAAGAAGGCGGAACCTCAGACTAAAAGTCGCCTGATTTATGCCTTTGCACACAGACTGCCCCACACCCCCCATCCCCCCATCTCCTCATTTGGGTGGGTGTGAACTGTGCACCCAAGAGGCACGTCTGCAATCTTATAGAATCCATGCGGGGAGTACCCATATATAATGCATATAAGTTTCAATGTTAAGGGAATATAAATTTTTGTGCATTGCAAATGAAATGGAATACGATATCTCCAAATAAAAAAAAAGTTATATACCTTATTTAAACATAAGATCATCCTTGATATATATAAATACATATAGAGCTATGCTGTGAAGTCTGAAGGATATTTTTAAATTGATTGCTTTGCTTCGACTATTTATAAACACATCCATTGTTTTTTGACCTTTGTAAGATAATTAGACAGCTCACGAATTGTAATGTTAAGCACTCAGCGAATAGCATTTATTTGTGTTTCTATTTAAAAAATCATGAATAGAGTAAACAGAAATGTTTGTTTTCCATATGCTCGGACAGCTACCATTTCTTATTTAAATTTATTACACTTTTTTCCGACAAGCGTATTAATTATTGATGCATTTTTTGACCTATATTTATGGAAAAAATAATCAAAGTAGAAAAGACAACGTCACTTTAGATGTTTGCCGCTTAAATTGAGCGTAAAATTTTGCTTGACAAAACGGGCAATGCGCCAGCAGACATTAAATCTTACGAAAGATCTACACCTCCTTAGCCCCCCCCCCCCCTTAAGTCACGAGCACACCTTTTGCAGTTGCAGAGGCGCCGTCGCAGAGCAGGAAAGGGGATCTTAGCTAAAACCATGAATTGTGCGCGCCACTGGGAACATTTGGCAAAGCGTTGCGAGTTGATGACGTCAAACCTAAAAAAGATGAACTGGCGTCCACCTATTTGTATAGACGCAGCTCTTAGGCACACTTTTGCGTTATTTTCGTGAAACTGGTCACGAATCAGCCCCAGTCCCATCCCCAGGCCCAGCCGCAGCCCCAGACGCGGCCAGAGTCCGTTGGTCTTCGTTGGGCGGCGCTCGCTTCGGCACTTCCAGGAAATCCCAATGAATCATTTGACAAACCGACAAGCCTCAATGTTGGGGGATTTGTATGGCTCGCCCATTGGGACGGCTGTGTAAACAAAAGTCACTCAAGTTTCATGAGCTTTACGCGATTTATGATGGTCGAAAACTGAATGAGTGACAATGGAGACGGCTGAAAAATGCCTGGAATGCCGCAATGTTAATGAAAATTAAGATGTGGTTTCTTGGAGACACATGTTATCTAGCCGAAAAAATTCCACGTCGAAATAGGGAAATATTTTGTTTTCTATATGTATATTGAGAGGATGAATGATAAGGTATACAAAAGATAGATATACCTTATGGATATGGAATATGATTAGTTGAATCGCATCTCAATAGCTTAATATCTGCCTAGAATGCAGCCTCTTATGGCGGATATAAGAATGAGTTTAATGCATTAACTGCCAACAAAGAATGGCTCCACCCTATATACATACATATCTGTTTGTTTGCATACACACAATTATTTATATATGTATATGCACTTATTCGTACACTTAAATATATTCATTTCTGATGATGTTGACAATCAATTAATTTCACATATGCCCACAACAAAAGCAAGTGTCGGCGAAGCTTTACGCCTGTGGTAATTGTTTTTAATGCAAATTGCATAAAAGAATATACATAAATAAAATGCGATATGCATTCATTTAAAAATGGCTTAAAGTAGTCATTTCAATTTCAATTTTGCCATAAGTTCCCTATCAAACTGTGTGCCGCCTCCCTTCCTTCCTCTATGCCTCGCCCTGACGTCAGCAATCGACAGACGCACATCTTCCATGTCCCATGAATTCCAATAGCACTCGTCTGCTTACCATCTCCAATCTAAAATCCGCGATGAGGCAATGCACAGTGCACAGTTCATTGACATGGTCATAAATTTGTTGTCGCCACGGAAATAGTTTTACAGTTTTTCTCACTTTCCACAACGGCTATTTTCCGTTCTATTGCATAATATCGGCTTATGATTATAGGAAAAACATAAGTAAAAGTAAACGACAGAAAAAATGTGGGGCCGCGTCTTAAGGTGGGTTCACATAACAAATTTTTTGAAGACTTTTTAAAGCATGCCTTTAAAATATGGATGTTAATACAAACTAAAAATTGCCATTAAATAATGGATTAGGATTAAGTTTTGAGCAAAATTCCCGCAAGAAAAACCTTTTCAGAATAACAAGTTTTAAATCTCAACTGTTTGTCTGAAATTGTTTTATTTGTCCCCTGTCGGTTGACATATCACAGGTAAGACAGACTCTGGCAATTTATGATTTTTGTGGCACTCTCTCAAATTCATAGCTTTTCTACGTGGCACTGTGGCAAATGGAAATACATTGCTTGTGGCAACTTGTGGCTGCTGTAGTCTAGTTAATTAAAACGTATTCACAATTGTGGCAACTACAATGGCAACTGGCAACTGGCAACAATGTGACCCCCGCACCGAGCTTTCCACCCCGCAATTAAAACTAAACTAACCGAAAACACAAATGCAAAAGCATTGAAAATCCTGTCAACAAATTTGTATTTATACAGAAACGTATACAGACGAGTGTGTGTGTGTGTGTGTGTGTGTGTGTGCGTGAGTGTATCTGTGTATGCAAAAGGAGGTTATCCAATTTGTTCGGGGAAAATATAAAACATTGCTTCTTTACAAACGAATTTCCGTATTTTACTGGCACTCACTGGCGAATGCCGCACCTCACGCCGCCTTTCCCCACAATAGTTATAGTACATCATATTCCCGAACAGATTTTTCATTTTCATACAATGCATGTGGTAAACAATATTTTTGGATTCTTAAAACTGAGTCAATGCAATGTGTGGGCGTGGCCGCAACTTAAATATGCAATGCAATGCAATGCAGCATTTTAATGAGCATCACAGCCAAAAATAAGTTTTACATAAATTGTATTTGCTATGCTGCTGACAATCTGAAATGAAAATGAAAATTTAGTTGGCAAAAATAAATGCGTTCTGAATGGTCAGTTTTTGCGTGGGCCGATGGCCAAACATTGCAAAAAGTCAATGCGCTCATTAGCCAGGCCAAAACGTAATAAATCAACGGCAATAGAAAAGTGTCAGCAACAGACTCAATTGCAATTGGCCAAAAACAATTGCGACAATTGTCTCACGAAATTTGGCTAGCAGAAGTTCACGGGCGTCTAACCAACCCCACAAAGTTAAACAAATAACTTGAAGGATTTATCGTAATGAAATATCTTTGGCTAATTGACGTTTTGAACACTTTCGCTTGTCACGGAAGAATTCGCATCTGAACCACAGGCAGGCACTGTTCTTGCCCGGAACAATCATAAATATCGCCAATCGAAGCAATTTTCAATTTTGGCAACAAAACTGATGATTTTTGCCATGGGCGAGGACATATTGCGGCCAAGTCCATTAAACCCAATGTGGCTCCTTTAAGACCAGAGCTCCTATGTTCCATCTCCGATAACAAAGTGTTTATAATACAATGCCAATATATTTATATTATAATGAAAAGTGCTTTGAAAAACCAAAATTAATCACTACGAAAAAAGTAAAGATGAAGATAGGCAGAGGTTTTTCATTCTACATTCCAATTCATTCAATAATTTTTAGCTTGGGCCCAAAAGTATGCTACAGTTTTGCATTCAGAATATCTTGAGCAGTTGACTAGGGCTGGTGGTCTACATGCGTTTTCCAACACGTTTTTGATAAGGCTGCTTTTGTAGCAAAGTAGGCGACGGTCGCGCCAGAAAAGATGACTAGCTAAAGGACAATAGTTGTGACATTTCATTCTTTCGCAAATTTTCGCATTGAGCAGAGCTCTTAAAAGTAGAAAATCAAAAAGTAAAATTTAAATTCCTCTCTCTGAGTCGTTGTGTCGAGCAATCTTTGGTTTTTCGCATTCCCATCCTCGCGTGCGTTCCCATAATAGTGTAACTGTCACAAGAAGATATCGAACGAAGAAAAAATGGTTCCAGTTACCAAATCGAACACCAAGGAGGTGCAGTGCCAGCCGGAGACAAATGTCACTCCGAAGAGCGGCCGCGTGGGCATCTTCAATGCGGAGGACTTTTTGTCGCGTGCCCAGACGAACGGCAAGATCCACAACATTTTGCGCTCTCCCAACAAAGATCCCAATGGCGTGCGCCAGCGATCGGTGTACACCAACAACAACCCATCGCCGGTAAATCCTACAAAAATTCTGCCTCATTACAATCTATATACATATGTATGTGTGTGTTACAAGTGTTTGCCAGTGCGTGTTTTTAGTTAAGCTTTTTAATTTGCGGCCATTAGTGTTTTAATAAATATAAAATGCCGGAAACTATTGGAGGAGTAATTTATATTGCTATTTTAGCAGTGTTCGGCTCGTTTGTCCAGTACGGCTGTGTCGTTATCAGCTCGGATGAGCAGCATGGCTCTGAACAGCGGCAGTGCAAGTGTGGGCACAAATACTCCTGTGATTGCTAGGGAATGGTCTAGCCAGACTAATGCTATCGATGGTAGTGGCTCCTATCGGACGCTTGGTATGAACATGCACCACTCGCAGCCGCTTCTGACCGCTATTGCAGATTTAGAGCCCTTGGTTCTGAGCACCAAATCGTTGACTGCTCGCTTTGCAGGCCCCTTTGGGTATGAGACTGGTGCTTACTGTCAGGTAAGCAAACTCCAAGGTCTTCTGGACTAGTTTAACATCTACTTCACTTCTAGCCACAACCGCAACCACCCATGCACCACACTCAGCAGTTCCCGTCGCCAATGCCGCCACCACCTCATGCTCTGGGTCGCGTTAGTTCGCGTACCTTTGAGTTTGAGAATAGTCCGCCACCACCACCACCCTGTCCTGGCTCCGGTCCGATTGCCATGTCCAACGGCACGATTCAGCTGCGCCTGCGCGAAGGTGTTAGGTGCGTACCCCAATTGTGAGTTGAATTGAAATACTAATAAGTATAAGTTGCATCTCAGGATTGATATGACTCTGGACAAGGCAGTGCGCGTGTTGAATCAGCGCAGCATGGTGGCCGTGGCCTTGTCGCGCAACGGCACAAATTCTGCTCTGATCCATCCAAATGGCCGGATTCTGCAGAGCGGCTCCAAGGTGGAGATTGTCACATATGACGGGATGAAGGCCAACAACTTTGTGTAAGTAAATCATTTAAAACATTGCAACTGTCTATAATGAAGATATCTATAGCAATCGATCAGCACTTAACTGTAGATCATTTTTTGAACGGAAGTTCATATTCCAAATTGTGATTTATGCCTAGAACAATTTTAGCGATAACGTTATATTAATATAATCTTTTTGACTATTACAGGCGCTACGCCAAAATGTGGTACAAGGGAGTGAGTTTCACTAGCGAATCTTGCGCTTTAATTTATCTGGTAGACACCGCTGGAACACGCACCACAACCGACACTTTCACTGACCTGACCAAGGACTACACTCTGGCAGTGTTTTATGAGTGAGTAGCAGAGTGGAACCAATTGAAGCTTATACTAACTGAACACACTTGCAATAGCGACTCACGCCACGGTCCCTCTTTTGTGCCGGATGCTCAGGAGGTGATTGCCAAGTCATCGTACAGTTGCGCAGCCGACGGCACTGAGATGTACGACATCAACGGCTTTCGCATTATTCAGGCCGCTGATGGCCTGGTGAAGGTGACTCGCCAACACAACAAGGGCCTCATTCGCACTAGCCCTGGCAATGGATCAGTCACTTTAACCACCCTTGGCATCCACTGCACCGCCTCTTTGGGCAAGACCTCGCATCTGTTCTTGCGGTGGGCATCAATTTCTAGTGACACAACAAATTCTATTACATATAATTTTCTTTATTTTCCCTTTGCAGTCGCAATGAGAAGCGCATGCACTTCGATGGATCGAATTTCATAGTGCGAAATGCTGGACACTCGGCGGGATTTAACGAAAACAACCTGCTGATTGTCTACTAACTTGCATCCATCTCAATCCCAACCGCACACTCATAAAACACACACACACGAAAACAGACAACATCCAACGCAGTTTTTAGGGACCGTAGCGCTGCCATAGCGTAGAGAGGAATAATTACTAAAAATTTTATAGAGCACAAAAAAAAACTTAAACTAAAATTAAGGCTCTCAAAAAAGCGCGGGGAACAGTAAAGACATCCTGACCATAAAAGGCACATTAGGATAATCGACAGGTGGCTAAGGTGATAAGGTGGCTCTCGAATGTCTTTTGTAACCCGACGTAAGCGACGTAAGCAATGCAACTAAAAAATGAATTCGGTTTTAGTTATCTTTTCGTACTCAAACATTTTGATATCAGTGAAAATTTTGTAAGAAACCTATTTTGGGACACGTATCCACTGCCCTACCTACTACTTGAAAACGCTGACCCTTTTGGCAAAATAGATGGTGCCGGGGTTTTACTTTTTAAGGCTCATTTTTCTTCAACAAACTGTCAATATAATGACTATATGTATGTGTAACAATAAGTAGGCAGTGGACTTTAGAGGTGGCTGTCCCTCGGAATGCTGAGCCGATCTTATGACAGTAACAGTGCCAGTGAGAAATCTAGTTACAAGTTCAAATAGCTTTTCATGACACACACACACATTTCTCATCTTTTTCAATACGGGGTTCTAAGTGCATACATCACAGCCTAGGCTCAATGAGCCTTAGGACAATCCTTCACGAAACGAAATTTATGTATGTAACTAAATCGTCAAAAGAATAAATATAGAACGGAAAAAATTATGCAACTTTATTTAATATTGATCAGTCATAAAATATTAAATTCGGGAACTTTCTAAGCGTTGCAAGGGTTGCTTAGTTTTCCTTGTGCATAGATTTCGAAAATCAGCTCTTAAACTTAGTGCTGTAAAGTGTAACGGTATTTTGATGTATATACCAGCATTATTTTGTATTTGGTTTGAAGTATTTCCACATGAACATGATGCTGGTCACATTAATAAGTAACAAATTATAAGTTTTGATACTATCAGACTGGCAGTTCAGATCCGTATTGAGAGTAAAGCACGTTTAGAATATTGGAACAAATGTTTTGCTTTAGTCGAATATAAGCAGTAATTTGAATATGCAGCCGAGAAGTGTACAACAATTGCCAATTATACAGCTCAACAACTTGAAACTTGTCAAGTGCTGGTGGAATAAATGCGTTTTCCAACACATTTTTGCTAAGGCTGCTTTTGGAGCAAAGTAGGCGACGGTCACGCCAGAAAAGATGACTAGCTAAAGGACAGCAGCTGTGGCAATTCATTCTTTCACAAATTTTCGCAGTGAGCAGAGCTCTTGAAAGTAGAAAATAAAAAAAGTAAAAATTAAATTCCTCTCTCTGAGTCGTTGTGTCGAGCAATCTTTGGTTTTTCGCATTCCCATCCCGCGTGCAACTCCGTTCCCATAAAAGTGTAACTGTAATTTTAAGTCACAAGAAGACATCGAACGAAAAAAAAAAAAATGGTTCCAGTTACCAAACCGAACACCAAGGAGGTGCAGTGCCAGCTCGCTGCCTGCGATGAGACCAAGCAGCAGCCGGAGACGATTGTCACTCCGAAGAGCGGCCGCGTGGGCATCTTCAATGCGGAGGACTTTTTGTCGCGTGCCCAGACGAACGACAAGATTAACAATATCTTGCGCTCGCCCACTAAAGCTCCCAATGGCGTGCGCCAGCGATCGGTGTACACCAACAACAACCCATCGCCGGTAAGTCCAGCCAAGAAAACTTTTCTTTTGACAGTCTGTGTGTGACAGTTTTTTTGACAGTGGGTGTGTGTGCGTGTGTTAAATGTTCTAAGGAACTCTTTTTGAAAAGTTCAATGTCAGAAATGGGACCAAATAAATCCATATCATTTAAATCTTGTTGTTTTTTAAAAAATAATTAAGTGTCAAAATGCAAGTCTTTCGGCAGGACTGCATCCATTTGTGGGTCATCGAATTATAATAATTAAAATTAAAAATAATAAGCTCCATATTTTGCCGTTGCTAACACAGTTCAAAATACACGACCTCATTAATATTTAATATAATATTATATATATAGTATATATATAATTTATCTTTTTCTCAATGGTGGCAAATAAAGTAAATCGAAACCAGTATATAGAATATATTATAATATTCAACTTTTGATAACTCCAATGGATCTGCGCTTTTGTAATAATATGAGGAAAGGATGTTTTCGTCTCCTGGTCGAGAATGATGAAGAGATGTTTGCCAATTGTATACTAATTTTTATTGTACTTGCAGCAGTCGTCAATGCGCTTGTCTACTACGGCTGTGTCGTTATCAGCACGGATGAGCAGCATGTCACTGAACAGCGGCAGTGCCAGTGTGGGCACCAATACTTCTGTGCTGGCCAAGGAATGCTCTAGCCAGACAAATGCCATTGGTGCTACTGGCTCCTATCGGACCATCGGCATGAGCATGCACCAGTCGCAGCCGCTATTGACCGCTGTTGCAGATTTAGAGCCCTTGGTTCTGAGCACCAAATCGTTGACTGCTCGCTTCGCAGGCCCCTTTGGGTATGAGACTGGTGCTTACTGTCAGGTAAGCAAACTCCAAGGTCTTCTGGACTAGTTTAACATCTACTTCACTTCTAGCCACAACCGCAACCACCCATGCACCACACTCAGCAGTTCCCGTCGCCAATGCCGCCACCACCTCATGCTCTGGGTCGCGTTAGTTCGCGTACCTTTGAGTTTGAGAATAGTCCGCCACCACCACCACCCTGTCCTGGCTCCGGTCCGATTGCCATGTCCAACGGCACGATTCAGCTGCGCCTGCGCGAAGGTGTTAGGTGCGTACCCCAATTGTGAGTTGAATTGAAATACTAATAAGTATAAGTTGCATCTCAGGATTGATATGACTCTGGACAAGGCAGTGCGCGTGTTGAATCAGCGCAGCATGGTGGCCGTGTCCTTGTCGCGCAACGGCACAAATTCTGCTCTGATCCATCCAAATGGCCGGATTCTGCAGAGCGGCTCCAAGGTGGAGATTGTCACATATGACGGCATGAAGGCCAACAACTTTGTGTAAGTAAATCATTTAAAATATTGCTACTGTCTATAATGAAGATATCTATAGCAATCGATCAGCACTTAACTGTAGATCATTTTTTGAATGGAAGTGCATGTTTTTAATTGTGATTTATGCCTAGAACAATTTTAGCGATAACGTTTTATTAATATAATCTTTTTGACTCCTACAGGCGCTACGCCAAAATGTGGTACAAGGGAGTGAGCTTCACTAGCGAATCTTGCGCTTTAATTTATCTGGTAGACACCGCTGGAACACGCACCACAACCGACACTTTCACTGACCTGACCAAGGACTACACTCTGGCAGTGTTTTATGAGTGAGTAGCAGAGTAGAACTAATTGAAGCTTATACTAACTGAACAACACACTTTCAATAGCGACTCACGCCACGGTCCCTCTTTTGTGCCGGATGCTCAGGAGGTGATTGCCAAGTCATCGTACAGTTGCGCAGACGACGGCACCGAGATGTACGACATCAACGGCTTTCGCATTATTCAGGCCGCTGATGGCCTGGTGAAGGTGACTCGCCAACACAACAAGGGCCTCATTCGCACTAGCCCTGGCAATGGATCAGTCACTTTAACCACCCTTGGCATCCACTGCACCGCCTCTTTGGGCAAGACCTCGCATCTGTTCTTGCGGTGGGCATCAATTTCTAGTGACACAACAAATTCTATTACATATAATTTTCTTTATTTTCCCTTTGCAGTCGCAATGAGAAGCGCATGCACTTCGATGGATCGAATTTCATAGTGCGAAATGCTGGACACTCGGCGGGATTTAACGAAAACAACCTGCTGATTGTCTACTAACTTGCCCTCGTCTTAAACACAACCGCACACTCACAAAAGACACACATATACATAAACAGACAACATCTAGACAGTTTTGGGGACTGTTGCGCTGCCGTAGCGTGGAGAGAGTAATAACCAAAAATAATATTAACAACAGAAAAAGCTTCAAACTTGAAAAAGGCTCGCAATAGGCGCGAGCAACGCTAACGACATTCTGACCATATGTATAACATAAAAGACCTAAGACCCAATCTCTGCGTGGTTGGGTAGCTTCTGGATGTCTTTCGTTACTCGACGTAAGCGCAACGAAACCAAAAAGGGAATTCGTTTTTAGTTATCTTTTCATACTCTAACTTTTTGATATATCAGTGAGAATTTAGTAAAAAAAAAAAAAGGAAAAAAAAATTTACCAACTTTGGGACACGAGTCCACTGCCCTGCCTACTATTTGAAAACGCTGACCCTTTTGGCAGATGAAATGATGCCAGCGTTTTAGTTTTTAAGGCTCATTTTGGCATATAAAAAGACTTCTCTCTAACCAAATTTCTACAAAATACGACGTAAAATTAACCAAAAAAAAAAAAAAAGAAAAGAAATTATTTACATACATAAAGAAAAGCCTTAAAAAATTGTCACATGCTAACAAAATTTAAAAAAAAATTAATTCGCAGCATGGCGCGAATATGTGTGTGCAACAATTAGTAGGCAGTGGTCTTAAAAGGTGGCTGTCCCTCTGAACGCTGGGCTGATTTAGTGACAGTGCCAGTGATATTTTTATTTACATGTTACAGTTAAGATTAGTTTGTGGTTTCTGCAATCCAAACATGTTCATCCACACAAATACAAAGTGAATATTGTTACATTCTGAATTGTAAATTCAAAGTGAACAATCCCACAATTTTAACACACTTATGACGCACCATAGAAAAGTGAGAAATTAGCAAAGTTTTGAGTACAATACAAGCTCATATTACGTAGCCGTCAACACTTGACTTAATGTTAAACACAATTAACGGGAAGTCCATTCGTCTTACATGCGAACACTACACAACCACTTTTAAACTTCGACAATTTGGGTTTTTTATTGTTCAAAGCTAGCTCCAGAGCTTGAGTCTTACGAGCCTTACGACAATCTCCGACACCCAAAATCACAAGCATGTATAGCGAAATTAATGTATGTATCTAAATCGATTAAAAAAAAAGAAGAAATAAATGTATTTTAAACAAAATGTGAATGTGGACAAGCACACGTCAGACACAAGGACTGGCAAAATATTCATGTTAAATGAATTTCCAAGATGAAAGCCATAACTTCTAAACCTGCCCAGTTAGCTTACCATAACCCTAAACCGTGGCATTCATACGGGCATCCAAGACGGAGGCTCGTATATTTTCAACGAAATTGCTTTATGCCACTCACACACCTGCGTCCAAGCAGCCACGCCCTGAGGCGCAGAATCACCCATAAAACCTTACCTACCCCGTAAGCTAAGTAATAAGAAAAAATATATGGTCTTATGTGTGGGCCACTTTGGTACAATCGTGTGGGTAATTACACAATTGCCCTTGCCAGAGCCCAAAAAATAAGGCTAATTTAGATGTTTCTGAAAGAGTATTTACAATTGTCTTTAGTCCAATTAAAATCTTTTTCTCATTGTTCAACATTTTTATAGCTCGACCTATTTCGTATATATGATATTTGCTTTCGCTGTGGTTACCTGTAGACATATCCAAAAGCATAAGGAGATCGGATCGGCTGTCATATAGACTAATGCTTCCAAAATGCTTGGGGTTGAGGCTGAGTCGGACTGCTGCTGTTGCTGTTGATAAAGATTATTGGATAACGCTTAGCCAACAATGTTCGTTTCTGTCATAGGAAGAGAGTTGAACCATTGTTAAAGAGATAGATTACAAGGCAACGACAACAAGCGGCTACCATCGACTAGACGAGCAGAATTGGATAGTATATAGTCACATTGAGCTGAAGATACATGAAGCGGAAGCGGAAGCAGAGGTGAGAGGTGTGCAGGTTATATCAGATAGATAGAGAGAGAGCAGCAGCAACATCTACTTATAGCCAAAAATTTACTTAAGTGTGACATTTGCGGAAGGACTGTCTGATGAGCGTTTTATTTTTGTGCGTGTGTGTGTGTGTGCGAGTGTGGATGAGTGCTTTCATAATAGAGAGTCGAGTCGAGGGTAGTGAACCGTGCTGCTCCTATGTGTGTAGGGTGTCCCGACATCGCATCCAAATCGTTTGCCTCATCTCGTTAAGGGCCATAGATGTGGCATATTCAATGCTCACGGTTGCGTGCCCCTTGGCGCAAGCTGCGCACAGGATGGAGGATGGAGGATGGAGGATGGAGGATGAGGAAGAGGACGAAGTGGAGGAAGTGGAGGTGGAGGGAAAATGCTTGTGCCCAACATCAAACGCTTTTCACACTTAATTGGGCATAAAATTAAATCAGAATTGATTAAAACACTTGAATGACAACGAAAAGCAACATCAGCAACAGAAACAGCCGCTCAAACTCGACACAACAGCAACACGGCAACAGCTTTGACATCTTCCCATCCTTCTATTGGTCCTCCTTAGTCCTACGAAGTATATAGCAAGTTTTTGGTTTTGGGTTTCCCCAGCTGACGCATCGCTATCGACCTGATTCCGTACTAACTTTAGCCAACTTCAGTCAACTTCTCACATCCGCGCTGCCAACAGAGGGAAGGCCAAGCCTTTCGCTACCGCCGACCAGGCGCAACCAGGCAACCAGGCGCCCAGAAGGTAGTGTATTAATTGCTCCCACTCATCGGCTGGCCAAAGTTTATAAAATTCAATTTCCGTTTTAGGGCACTCTGCACAAACAAATTACGCGACTGGGCCAGAGAGAGCGAGAGAGAGAGAGAGAAACAACTTTATGTATTACCATTTAATGTGCCGTCAATTATTCCAGGCCAGCTTTGAATTTTATGCCACAGACAACGGACTAAAGACATGTTTTATTACATTATAATTTATGGCCATAAATCTCGAAGCATGTCGATTTGCATGCAAGGGAAAAAAGGCTGAGATATCCAAAGAAATCAATTCCATTTCCGCCCATTCAAAATAGCATTAAAGAAACGAGGAACTCTGAAGGCATGTAACAGACTAAAGATAGTATATAGGGGGAAATTTGGTGAGCTAGTAATTAATGCATAGCATTAAAGCATTTTCTCGGGAAACATGAGGTACTTTGTTATTTACCTACAGCCCGTTATCTTAAGTTTTGACTTGTTTGCACCTCTCAAACAAGCTGCCAAAGAGGCAACCGCACTGTTTACAGAAAAACTTGTATCCTTCGCGCCGAGCGAAAGATGCGAGTTTCGGGCTGTGGAGCTGTGGAGCTGTCGGCAGTTTGTGTTGCAGCCGTCAATCAAATAAATCAAAGGAGCAGTCAATTGCCAGCGACTCGGTAGCTACACCAGCCCACAGGAACAGGATCAAAGTAAATTGTCAGCGATGCGTATTTCCCCTTCGCTCAGAGGGCGGCGCATTATTGTAGCTAAATTCTTGATGTTATTTGATCAGGTTTCCCTCTCGCCACAGTCCTGATTAAGTGTGGAACTGATGGCAGCTCCCCTAACCTCCCCCAAAGGCTATGGATGACATGGCAGTAGAGCAACAAGAGCATCCAGCTGAAAGCGTGCCTGGAGCAGATGTTGTTCGAGTAACTTAAGATACGAGTGTCACAGCATTTATGGCTGGTTGTTGAGGTCGTCTGTCAAAGGTGATTGCCGCCGTCTGCCGATTCCATGAAATATGCACAATAAATTTGGCTGACAAGTAAATGGCGCCGGGGACAGATTTATGAGGTAAACGATTGGCAGTTTGCTTGCAGCGACTAGTGAGGCATTGCCATATTGATTGTCATTTCAATTACTTAATTAAAATGCACGCTAATCAATTAAATCAATTTACTTCAATAGCTAATCAGATTTCAATGTTGCCTTCCAGGAACACAAGGAATTTCAACTTCAGCGAATCTCAACTCCGGCAGGTGCCTTTGCACAAGTAATTACAATCAGGACTAGGCGACATGCGCCATGCGCCATGCTCCTCCCTCGCTCCTTCCCCCAACGAAAAACAAGCAGAACAAACTGCCAAATTCCAATTCCATTTTGCCGTACTTGGCAACGGCAGTCGACTAAGCCAATTGCAGGCAAGACGTGACAAGAACCACAATATATTCGACTACAAATATTCAGGCTTTTACATTTTGGAGTCGGAATTCCATTCAGATTGGGAAATGAAGAACATAAGTAAAAGAATTGCGTATACTTAATATATGGGTAAGTAAATAATTGGCATGGCTTATTTCCCGAGCATACCCTGTTAACATATCAAATAAAATATTTTTTACTTATTATTTATTATTAATATAGCAGACAATACGAGTTGCTTTTGGTAGCTGCTGTTGCCCCTCTTCTGGCTGCTTAGCAAGCAAATTTATTCTAGCATTGAGTTCGATTATCTCGACCGAAAGTAGCCTCATTAATTATTTATGTGCTTGATTAATGCGTTCACCCTTTTGCGCATCACTTAGGACTTTGTGTACCATAACAGTTTGATGTATTTGAAGAGTCATTGAGTTATTTCTGTTTGTTCGCTCATTAGGTCTGCAAACACTCGCGATTTTAAATAAAATCTTCATTCCGCAGTACATTGACTTCAATTCGAGTCAAGGGGCAAGTAAACGTTTTGAACTCTTCTTAAAATAAAAAAACTTAGTTACTATCCCAAACAATTCACTGAAACAGCAGCTGATACAAAATATGCCACAGTAAGCCTCTAATCGGCGGCTTTTAAGCTGGCATTTTGTGGACAGAGAAATTCAAAACTGTACTTAAATTTTGTTCAACTAAAACTTGAGCTAAAACTTGCCAAGCACACAAAGACACAACAACAAGAAGAAAAAGTCGTTTTGATTTTAGCATACTTTTGTGCGCTTTGTGGAAGGAAGAACGTGACTCGAGACAGAGAGAGAATATTGCCCGGATATATGTACACATAAATACACACATATGTGTATCCTTGCAATATGTATCGCTTTCATTTCCTGTTCTTAAGCAGCAGCTGAATAGTATGTGGTGTATGGCCCAGGGCCAGAAAAAAATAAGCAAGTTTTCCAGTTGCCATTAGCGTTGGCAATTTTCCATATGCATACGACAAGTTCTCGATGACACATTCTCAATTCTCAGTATTTCTCATCCACACGTCTGTCAGCACCCATTGTAAGTCGCATGCAAAACACTGCGGCAAATGGGGCAGCGCTTTAATTGAGTCGCAAAACCAAACCTGTCTCCGGCCAGGAGCCCGCGTCCACATCCACGTCCACGTCCACGTCCCAATCTCCCCCTTTTGAAGTGGGCTTTCCTATTAGAATGCATGCGTTTTGGTGGCGTGGCAAGTAATTCTCATTATTTCTCATTAAAATTCATTAACATGTTATGTCTGTCGTTTAATATTCACCTGTTCATCTGCTCAGCGGTTCAACTGGAGTGCCTGCCTCTCCCCCTTCTCCCCCTTCTCCGCTTCCACTTATTATTTGGCTCGACGTTTCAATTAAGTCTAATGGTAAAATGTTGTTAAGCAATTAAATTGCTTTTGTTTTCACCGCTGTTTCCCTTGCGAGGGCGCAGACACAATATCCCCGCCCATGTAATAAAAAGTCTACTCAAATCAAATTACCGCGGGCATTAAAATCAGTAAAAAGTGCTGCACTATGGCGCTGCCGACAACGGCTATTAAAATAAAGCCGACTATTTTAACAACTCATCTTGGAAATAATGAAATGAACTTTTATCTGTTGCGATTACAATTTTAATTATTTAATTTTACCAGTATACCATTGAAAATACAGATTTTTTTATCAGTTTAAAAAAGCATGAATTATGTGATTCCAGAAATCCAATTGTAATTTAACATATTACATTTTGATTACAGATTCAAATGTTAGTGTTGTACAAGTCTGCATTCATTATGCATTCTTTTTATCGATAGATCGATCGGTACATTTTTGTATCGAGCAAGTGCAATGTAAAATACCAACTGCATAATTTTGTGGTATTTTAACAGTTCATGTTATTTGGTCACTACGCAATAAAGCTACCATGTGTTTTTTCTTGATCGGTACTTGTTATATGTATATTATAAATTAGATGTTTGTGCTTTGTGTGCTTAAATAACTCTGTTCAACTAGCCGTAGACCTGAAATGTGATCTTGTGTGACATACTCCACTTTGAAAAATGCTTTGGGATTATATATAAAGCCGATTTTGTGTATTAAGCTTCAAGCGGATCTACATGCCACAATACCTACAAGGTAAGGATTATTAAATTGTACTTACATGGTGAGAGAGGCCATTGATGTGGTTGCCGTCAGCGGCTGATTCTCTTCGCCTTGCTCCTGCTCCTCTGTCTGCCTCTGCAGCTGGCTTTGTGTGTGGATGCGGGTGCTGTTGCTGAGAACGTGGTCCAGTGAGCGGGCTAGTGGGCGGCAGTTGTTGGGCGTTGTTCGTGTATCTGCCGCTGCCACTGGAGTTGGTGGGCAATGGTGAGGCTGGCGGAGTGGGTTGCGGTTGTGGAATTGAGGGGCCCGTTCTGTTGCGTAAACGGGCCAAAGCACTCCGTAAACCCTCCGTATTGTCTTTGTCGGGCCCCTTTCCAAATGAAATGCATCCGCAGAGCACTTTGAGCCGCGCACCTTGCAAAGCTGCGGCGCTCAACTGCAGTTGCGGACAAGCTGAACTTATTATTCTCTGGCTCTTAAAAGTTTCTATCTAATATCAGATATCAATCAATCAGCTTTGGTTTGCCGCGGAACGTAACTAAAACTTTTTCAATTTCAAAGAATATTAGTTAATTACTTTTAACACTATATACACACACACACACACACACGCACACGCACAACGCAAAGTTGATGTGATACCACAAAGTTTTGCATCAATCAACACACACACACAACATCACAGATGTTATACGCAGTGTATATGTAAAATTCTAGTATAAGCAACAGGGCTAGAAGCTGTCTCGGCCCTAAGTGTGGGTGTGTGTGTGAGAGATTTAATGAGGACTGTCTTTAAGTTAAATTCAAGTTTAAAGTAATGCAATGCCAAGGGATTTCCATTTGAAGTAGCAGTCAGATCGAACTGTAATAAGAAAAAACAAGTTTAATTAGAATTAATTATCGCAAAGAAATATGTAATAAGATACGGGTCAGTTGTGCCCCCGGCTAATTTTGTAGTTCATAAGCTTTAGTTGCTTACAAAGTTGATGGTATTGAAATGCACACCAAAAATCATGGCCTCTAACAAACCATTATACGATTTCAACAATTGCGTAGAAAGTCACATAAAACAATGACTAAAGTTCCAATTAAATTTGCGGCTGCCCCAAAAATGCAGGCCAAAACAAAGTTCGTTTTTATAACAGGCAGACAGGAGACGAATCGAGAATATTTCACTATTTAGATACCCTGCCCACATTTTAGAGGTATAATCTTGGGCCTGGATATTACACACATATATGTATATGTACTGAAAATCACAAATGAATTTCCCAGAGTATGGGGATAAGGGAAGCCGTTGCATGGATGAAACTAGAACTAGGGTATATTATAGTTGGACATTCCCATTAAGAGCAGCCTGACTGAAATTTATGTACGGCGCAAGGCACAGGGCGCAGGGCAGGGGCAGGGGCGGGGGGCACGCAACAAAACATAACTTCCAGCCAGCAATTAACAACACGCCTGGCAGACGCCCTTTGTTTTGAGTTTTCTACTCGTGACTCTTACACCCCCTTCCCCCCTCCCCCCTGGCAGCTGGCGTTGCTATTTTTGTTGAGACCCAAGGATTTGTGCAATGTGACAAACTGCCTTTGTAGATCCACGCCAAACGTGACATTCCCCGCACGTCGAAAGGGAAATACCCTTAAAAAAAAAAAAAGAATTATATGTGCATATTTGTGAAATCCAAAAACTAAATAATCAAATTTGTATGCGTTCAAAGTCAGCTGGGAATAGGCGTCGTCAGTATCCTCTTCTAAATATCTAAGGGTATGCAATATGTAAAGTGACAGCTGTTGCCTTCTATACAGCCGCAGGCAAACGCAAACAAGCTTGACAAATGTCTCATATGCATACAAGGCTCACCTGCCGCACCTCCCCCACCCCCATGACCCCAAACACACACACACACTCACACACAACTGTCGCACACACACACACACATTTCTTTTGGTTTTACGACACTTTTTGTATGCCTGTGGCAAAGCAGGCAATAAAAACAGTTGCATGCCTTGTTTGTCTGCCAGAAGGATGCTCTTATTACCGGCTCTTTTAACTGAACACCTGAACATATACCCATCCGGACGGTGGCAGCAATTACAAACTTGAATAAGTTAGTGAATTATATTATCAATATAAAAATTTCGGCTTATGGCCAACTGTTTGATAATGATTTATTGCTGGCTTATGGCATATCAAGCGTTTCATTTGGGACAGTCAGTTTAGCCTGATTATTTGGCGCCGACATGAGCCAAACTGAAGACGGGCAGGTTACCGCAAATTTGTTTGACCAGGCCATCAAATGCGGCCAGGAGCAGAGGCGTATTTTGGTCAACAAAAAGCGAAAGTAAAGGCAAAGTTAAATGAAATCATTTTGCGGGTATTTTCTGAAGTCTTCCTTTTTATTTTTTTTTTTTTTTTGCAAATTCATCATGGCTTTTGTGTGTTGTTGTGTATGTGTGTGTGTGTCTGCTCGCGGGTGTTGGGGGTGTGTCTGCACGTTTCAAAAGCAATTTACTCGCATTGTTGTCGCCGCTTGCTACGCAGCAATTATTTTCTCATATTACGTATACGCAGTGCGTGCCCTATTCGCTGTTTACAGATTTACGAGTATCCCTGCCCCATTATACGACAATTTTCTATTACAATTTTTATATTTTCTCCATTGTTGTGCCATCTTCAGAGTGACTTTTTGTTTTTAAGCCCCAGAAGCCAAATTGTGGCCCACAATTTCCGTCAGAATCAAGTGCTTGGCCAGCTATATTAACATTATTCTAAGAAAAAAAAACCTACGCATTTACTCACGCACGCTGTTGCTGCAACAAACTGCGTGTCAAATTAACTTAGGGCAAAGTCTGAAGCCAGACTCCCAATGGATATGGTTCCATAATTGTAACGCCCCAATGGCCATCCTCTAAGGTCGCCCACAGGCAGCCGGCTCCTGCTTCCTTTTCTCATGATTATGCATAATTTTGTATTTCTATTAGGACGCACAGCGGCGGCCAGCCGTGAAAATTTGCAAGCAATTTATGGTATTACAATTGTTTAAGATTCTTAACTTTTTACAAGTTTCAAAAAATGAAAGTTTGTTTTTCCAATTGAATTAAGTTCACGTGTCAAATCAATCTAACGGAAAAAATATGAACAGAGAGCAGTCCACGCATAAATCGGTACCGTTTTGACAAAGTTAGTAAAGCGGGAAAATTTAAATAAAGTTTCTTAGCAAATCTCCGTAACTAGGCAAGGAAACCAACAAATATCTCAAAATTTCATTTTTCTGGAAAATGTGAAAAAAAGAAGGAAATTATTCTATTATTAGCCATTTAAATGAAATTGTTTTGTATTGAATTGAAATATGTTCATTTTTTTTCCGAGTTGCAGATTAAAGGTAAAATTGATTTTGCACGTTTGCTCGCATTTAATAATAATCATAATCACGCATACGCAGCGTTGGCCTTGGCACACACCTGAACACACACACACACATGACCGCAGGCAGGCAAATTTCCTGTTGTGAGTTATAACAACAATAATAATAATCATCGGTTTGTCATCATCAGGAGAACAAATTAACAGCAGCCATCCTTCGAAAATTTCGTATTCATTTCACAGATTGTTTGGGACATCGATTATTATTATGATTCGGATTATTTTTATTTACACAATGAAGGTGATTGATGTTCGCCTCATTAGGTCTCCCATTTGTTAAGAAACAAATGTGTTCGCCCGGCAGAACTCTGCCCAAGAATTTTAAAGCCTGATTGCAAATTCTTTTGCTTTTACCTTTATACTATGTAAGTAGCACCAAAGCTCATAAATCAAATATACAGTTGTGACAGCATGAAAAGTAAAAGAATTTAACTTATTTTTTTCCTTTACACGTGCGACTATGCGGAAAAGTTCGTAAGCTATTGAACAGGTTGTTATGAAAGTCGATTGGACTTTAAAGCAAACTCGTCTATTTTCAAGTGAATTCAATTACAGCTATAAAAGCCATTTCATTGAATTCGATTGGATAAACTAAACCAGAATTAGGAAGCATTTCCGAAAGCCAATCACTAATTAGTCATTCGCGTTAGTCGCAAAAGCGCCAATATAAATTTACAGTTTTAGGCTTTCAATTAGAGCTAAATTGGAAATGCATTATGCTGTGTTATACCTGTCAACTCAGCTGCAGCGGGTGTGTTAGTTAAATGAACTAAATAACATTCCTATATCATTGCCCATAACCAATTCGATGTACAGGGTATATTTCTGGCGTAGTAGTTTAGGCATCTAAATTATTGAATGCTGTGACACACTTTTAATGTAATCGAATCAAATTTAGTGGGTCGGGCACTCCCCGAGCTGCATATGCTACAACTGGCAAGCCCATAAAATTAATGGGCGTGGCAGCCCACACTGCGTGTATTGTAAGCCAACCACCCGGGCGCATTTCGTGCAAAATTGAGTTTGCACAATAATTCAATTTGGCAAGCACATAAATTTTAGATATGGCGTTAAAAGGATTTCAATACAATTTCAGATAGACGACGTCCCATCACCCACCACACACACACACAAACATAAACACTCACACACACACACACACATTAGTATTAGAAGCTCGCACGCAGTTTGAGCTCCATGGGAAATGGGCTGCGAGTTGGAGCACAGATTTTGGCAGGCATAAAGTTCAATTGGTGTCAGCCTACGAGTTTCCAAGCGGTCCTTCGAATCGTTGGCCCAAATATGAACTTTATGACAAAAGCCACACACACACACACACACACTAGCGAAAGCCTAAAAGCCTGTTTCCCTGATGGGATTCCAGGCTGGCCTCTAATAGACACTTAATTAGGTGAATACTACGCAGTTGGCTCTCTGAATAGATCCCATGGCTTTAAGCAGAACTCTGTGGCTAAAGTTTAACTATAATTTTACGTGTGCTATATGGATATGACATGCATTTGTACCTTAGACGCTCACGCATGGCCTTGCGCCAAGTTTCAAGGCTTCTGTCCAAGTAGTCCACAATGACAGCTGGTCCTAGTCAGCACTTGTAATTCATGGTGTTGTTGTTGGTCTATTCCGGTTCAATGAATAGGTCATATCAATATCTGAATTCGCAAAGTCATTCAGACTGCAAATGACAACTGAAATGCGATACAAAAAGAAGTTTTTCTCTGCCATATAAGAAAGGGGCGGGCCACCCACACGCCCACCCACACAATCCCATACCGACACGTTGCATAAATACTTGTGGGCTTTTTCTATTGTGCATGACTTGCCCTAGCTTCTTAGTTTTCTACATAGACGCAAAAACAGTAGCCAAACAATTCCAATAAGCTACTATACGAAGTGGGATTGGGTATGTAGTGTGGATGGAGGGGCAAATACCGACGACGCACAAATTGAATGTGCCTGTCAATCAAAAGTGGTTGTTGGCCTTTCATGGCTTAGATAAAAACGTTTTTACCTTGCGGCTTAGGCTGAGTTTTTATGCTAGGACTCAATGCTATGCCCGGGCAAAGGCACACCCCTGACGACTCAATTCCTAACGACTCACGATCCGAACCATCGGCTCCATTGGAGGTCAGTTTGTCAGTTAAGCTGCGCCATTTAGCAACATTGATGCGCAGTTTATGGCAGCCATACGACCCGCTTGATTCGCTCCTTTGATGTGCATACAGCAAACGTAAGCAACGATACATACTTAAACGATGCACATGGTGCAATATTATAGCTGCAGTTGAGCAACCCTGGGCCCATTACCATAAGCCGAGATGCAGTTTTCCAAGAACAACTTGAGTCCGCAGATCCAGACACTTTGAAATGAGCTCCCTTGAGAACGATAAATGTAATGAAGTCGCTGCAAGAGCAAAGTTCACGACTTGGCCAAGAATAGTATTTCCCTTATACTGCGGGCCAACTGATGCGTTTGCATTGCCAACCCGAAATTGTCCAAGTCGTTGCCCTCTCGTGGCTCTTGCCGCCAGCAGTCCGAAGTGCAATGGTCTGGCAGCAGAATCCCTTACGCCTTGCCCCATGTTCTGCCCTTCTGCCTTTGTGGCTGTGTTGCCTGCTGAGCTGCCGCAGGCAATGCGATGGCTCTGACTCTGCGGTTCGATGTCCAGCTATGCAATATTTTTGTGCGTAATTTATGTATAAATAAATTTATTATTTAATTGTGGCTAACGTGGTCTGAATTGCCTTTACATACATTCCTATTTATATATATATTTTACCCGAAAATGTACTTGCGATAGGTTTATTGGCTAATGTTCACACACATAAAAAACAAAGTTTATTATTTGTTAAGAAAAAGAAAATCATGATGAAAGCATGCAATACTTGTGCTTACTTGATTTCATGAGAATCGCATAGAAGTGCTATATGATAGGCTATTTTTGGTATAACAGCTCTTACTTTTCTAGGGTTATTCTTATGTCTTTAATCCTGCACAAAGTTTCTACCGAGCCATTTGGTTTTAAGAGCAGATATTTTTATCGATATTCAGGATTGCAAACTGAATGTAAAATGTAAAAATACGAAAGAGAACATGAATCTTTCCCAGCTAATTACATTTTAAAGTAAATCCGGTGGATTAAACATTAAAAGGCGTTGCCTCCTTGCGTCGTTTCCAGATTACCTGCCGAGCTTCCATTTGTGGACTGGTAATTAATTAAACGCCCCAGCAGAGTGGAAGCACAAGACAATGGCAAAGGAAAACCAAGTAAAATGGTGGGAAAGCGGAAAATAAATGCATCATTGCGTCTGTATTTTTTGGTTCTCAGCTGAAAAAATGGCATTTCATTTAAGGAGAAGCGATTGCAATAACGATCCCTCTGTGCATTACAATTATAAAAAAAAAAAAATGGACGCAGTGCAATCAACTGTTGCCCTTTTGCACATTGCAAAAGTTTTAATTAAAATGCTTTAAATCGGCTATTTCAAATACAGGGCAGGGAAGCACAGCAATTGCAGCGTCTCTTGGCAAGCTGTGTTTACTTGCAATCAGGTTAATCCTGTTGACTAGATTGGGCCCAAACTCATAGCAATTACGGCGGTAAGTGATGCATAGCCGAAGCTCCTAATTTATGCTGTCGTTGCTAGGCAAGGTGGGGAATAGCAACTGGCACCTGAAAGGCGTCAAGTAGCTGCTCATAAATCAGTGGAAAATCTGCGTATGCTTCACATGACTTCATTAAAACGCAGAAACACCCTTCGACACCCTCTGACACACTACACATGAACGCTTCAGCGGTTCTGTGTCACAGTGCGTATGCGTGTTGCCTGCTTTTGCACAACAATGGCTGACACTCAAAATCGACAGCTGCGTTCGACTTTCGAGTACACCCACATGATGTCTGCTGACGCATTTAATGCCCTATAACCGACTCGCGGCTAAATATCGAATAACTCCTGCGTAAAATTTTATTTTTCTTGGAATTACTTACATAGAAAAAAGCTCATATGGATTGGAATTGGAATTGACACGCTTGTCATGACTTTTTTTTCTTTTTTGTGTATCCTTTTTTAGAAAATATGTGTTCCCCTTATCTAGCTCAATATTCAGAGTTAATCAGGTTGCCTGAAAACTTTGAACGCAGCTAATGAATGCCAAAGTAAACAAACGACACAGTAATTAATTGTAGAGAGTTCTTGTTTAACTTGTCAGCACAAAATAAACATTTAAATTTCCACAATCCACACATATTCAAATGCTCGTCAAAGCATTCAAAGAAAATGGACAAAATTTCTATGTTGACTTTTTTTTTGGCTTTAAATTAAACATTTTTTATTACTTTGTTTTATGTTCCTTGGCGAAATCTCTTTCAAGTATATTTCACCTTTTTGTTTTTCAGTATCTCTTCGCCTTCGTGTCTCGTTTCGTCCGAATATGTGTCATTGTCCGGCACACAAAACTCTAATGTGGGAGTGCGGCTTTGTACGTGTATTTGTATTTCCGTGCTTTTGTTGATTACTGGACGGAGGCCGCACTTTCATGCCGTACTCAAGACTTAGTGTGACGCACATATGGGTAAGTATGCCATACATAACATATGGTTATGGAGCACGTTTAATACCATCATATTGTGAGGATAATGCGCTTGGTCAACGACCTGCTTCATGCCGGCTTCAATTGGCAAACAGCGGGCCCATAGTAATGGAATGCTATCAATGATATCATCACAGAATGCGCAGCATGTGAATGGTATATAACAATAAATGTGCGCGCTATGCAATGGTTAAGGAGCAGTTGGACATATGACGCCCACAAATGAAACCTGATTAAATACGCTTACGCGTAATCGTAAAAAATATCGTCAATTGAGAGCTATCGAGCAAAGGAATTCAATTTCAGGCATTCATAACTATTGTTGCACTTCTACTGAATTGCTACTCGAGTTGCTAACATTGTCGCATGACACTAAATTCTAGTTACTGGCACATAAAGGCATTTAAGTACGTATTTAGAAAAGTGAGGATACATCAAATTTATGTTGCTAGCTACTCACAAACAGACGATTAGGTTACTACGTCTAATTTTCTGTAAGTAAGCCACAGGCAAAAAAAAAGGAAACACCGACGGAAATACTCGATGAAACAAGAACCAAAAAAAAAATCCAAAATATAACAACAAAGCTAATGTGGGTGGAGGAGGAGGGGCAAGCAGCATTTAGCAAAGACAACAACCGAGACTCACATGTTACACTGCAGATATAGAAGAAGCATGTCAAGTTGTCATTGAGTTTCATTTGATTTGTTATCTTTTATTTTTTAAGGGGCTGCTCTGGCAACGATCTCACTGCACAATTGCGGATTACTGAAATTTACATTTCGTTCATAAAATTATATAATTTCTTTGAGCTAAGCAGAAACATTTGGCGGCCCATGCCTTGGCAATAAACACAAACTAGCACAAGAACACACACCCAGAGAAATACACACGCGCTCGTATCTGCCTTACTTTTTGTATATGGAATTTGCGTTTCAGTAGCACATTTTGTATACGTTGCGTTGCCAGAACTTGCTGAGCTGCCCAGACGAGACGACCAAAAGCTACGACAGTTCAACTACGACTAACTGAACTGAATATCAAATGATACTGCCGAGCCAGGCGATTCCTAAGTGTGTGTATATGTACATGTGTGTGTGTGTGTGTGTATGTGTGCAGGCAACGAGCGATGGCAAAGCGTGCGACACACAGCAGGCAGCGGAAAAACAGCGCGAATTTGAGTGGAAAGCCCAGCAGGATAGAAAAGTACAAGCAAAGCAGCTGACACACATTTTGGGCTTTGTTTTGGTTGTGCCCAGGCGTCGCAGGGGATAACGCAGCATACGCCGTGAGGTGGAGGACGCTGCGGCGGCTGCTTGCCGGCGTTTTTCGCTCTCTCACACAAAAGAAAGATAGAGAGAGAGAGAGAGAGAGTGAGAAAGAGAGAGACAGCGCCTGCGCTTAGAGACCGAGTGTGTTCAGGCTTCAAACAGCGGTCTGTATAAATAAAAAATATTTTAATAAAAAGTCTCGATTGAACAATCAGAGCTCTTCAAGATGACCCGTCAACAATATTACGAGAGTTAGGCAAAGGTTTTGGCGCATTGGTCATCGCAGCTATTCATATATTCATTCACTCGGGCATTCATTTTATCGATTTCATTTTGACCAATATTCGGATGAACGTTTTGTTTACGAATTTGTGTGGCGCAAGGCATGAATGAATGAATATATGAAGTATACACACACATACCAACATAAATCTAGAGTAAAATAGTACAGCTACAACTAAACAACTGTCCGTGTGTGTGTGTGTGGGTGTGCATGTGCGTGTGCGTGTGTATGCATGTGTGCATGCTGTCTCCTTTTCACTCAGGTTGAATGACACTAGCAAGTGGATTGACACCCGCCCGCCCGTAGCTTGCACGTTGCTGGTTTGCCGCTTTATGTCCTCAATTCCAAGCGGGACGCCATCAGCGAGTGTGTGTGTGTGTGAGTGCGTCCTAGGCCTCTGTCAAGTGTGTGTACACTGACAGCATCAGTTCGTATTTGCACGGGGAGTTAGAAGGGCGTGACACAGTTCCGTGGATTGCAAGCGAATTTGTGCAATTTCTAAGGGAAAACAACATCGTGCGGGCGTATACGTAATATTTTAAATGGTAAGTGATCTTAGCACTGCTCGAATGATGGTGATAATATTTAGTAGACAAAAGTAAAACATTTAATTTTCATTTTTTTAAACTAAAACTTGTGCTACTTTTTTATTTTCAGCCTATTTCCTATGCGGTTATGTTCTGACTCTAACATTGAAAATTACCTTTATACCTATCGACACAATTTACACATCTGCCATGACAACAACCAGCTCGGCGCCCCATTACTGGAGCTTGACTATCTAAGGGCAGAAAAGACCATAGGATCTACCTGACAGGATTCTCTAAACAATTAATATTTCTTGCATTAATATTGTACACCTTAGCCTAAATGGCAGTAAGTTAGAATTTTTTAATAGTGGCATTCTATTTGTAGTCATAACTCCGCCAAATCCTTAGGGTTGACCAGTTTTGACAATTTTTCTCTGAAATCAAAAAACGTTGATGCCATTTGTTCTATGGACCTCCGCGTGTTCTCCCGAGATCGCGCTTCATTTGGCGGAGATATGGCTATTTAAAAAAAACAGACAAGCAAAACCGATGGTTCTTAGATGACCCATTTATCCTTGGTTTTACCCTACCAAAGATAACGTCCTGTTGAACCTAAATGACCCAAATGGTCAAAAAATATGAATGCTTTTTCTTTCAGCCATCCCTCAGCAACAGCCCCATCCCCTCGACGGTACCTAGTGGACCCACATATCCTTGGTAATACCATATCATTGATATAGTCCTAGTGAACCTAGAGGACCGAATCCCTGCAAAATGCGCAAGAAACGGTTCAAATGCTTTTTTTTTCAGTACCCCATCCCCTTTTTTTACAGCTTGAGTTGGCTGCCGCTGCTAAAAGCGATAGTTAAAGTATGCCATTACAATTTGCGAAAAAGAATATTTTTGCAGCTTGTGGGTATGCAATGCAATTTTTCATTCAAATAATTTTAGTGCATCTGCCTACCGGGCGTTTCTGATCGCCTGGTACTTCTGCCGAAATTTCGTTAAAATTTATGCACCCAGCTGCTCCTCCGCACGCCCCGTTTGGGTATGCAATGAAATTTTTATCATAAAAATTTTTGTGCAGTTACCTGCTGGTCATTTCTGTTCGCCTGGTATTTTTGCCAAATTTTCGTTCAAGCCGGACGCCCCCATTTAGCAGGGGCTGTTAACAGTGGTATGTTAACTAACAGCTGCCGCTGCTGGTTAACAGGGGACTGCTAATTAACAGCTGCTATTAACAGCGAACTGTTAAATAAAAATTTTTTGTGCATCTACCTGCTGGGCATTTCTGTTCGCCTGGTATTTCAGCTGAATTTTGATTTAAAAATGTGAGCCAACGGCTGGGCCCAGTGCAATGGCATTTTGCAGCCGTTAATTTTTAAATCTTAATTTAATTGTGGATAAAGCTTCTAAGCGAATTTTGTGGGGATTTGGAACTATAGGTTTTCCAGGACTATATCTTTGGTATGGTAAAACCAAGGATATATCGGTCATCTAGAAACCATAGAGGGAGAAGGGTACGGCTGAAAAAAAACGCATGAGGGTTCATATTTGTGGATCATTTCCGGGTAATTTTTGCCCGAATTTCGAGATTTAGGTTCACCAGGACTATATCAATGGTATGGTAAAACCAAGAATATATATAGGCATCTAGGAACCATAGAGTGGGGAGGGGACGGCTGAAAGAAAACAGCATACATACATAATTTTGGATCCTTGCCGAGCGAATTTCGCACGGATTTGGAACTGTAGGTTCACCAGGACTCTATCAATGGTATGTTAAAACCAAGGATATTATGGGTCATCTAGGAACCGGTATTGATTTTCTGTTCGGAAAGAATCGTGCCCGATTTTAATTCAAAATATAAATTCGCCATAGCTCTGACATTTGTCACGAATAAATTAATATTTCTTAGAAACTTTAAATGACAATTTCTCGAGATCTGAAGAACGGATCAAAATTAGCTTTAAATGTGTAAGCAAAAGATTCTTTGCCACAAAGTATACGGACTTTTTGTGCAGCACAAATGTGCTTGCCTCGAAAATTTGGCATTCTTTTATGCATTAAATGTTTTTTATTTATGAATTGCCCATCAAATTTACGTGCCTCTAATTTCTTGCTCAACGTATTCAAAGCTCATCGACGTCTCATTGAATATTAAACAAATCGTTTTATTTATTTAGGTGTCTGTACATTTGAGAAGTAAACAGAGACAATGTGGACTGTCAGTCGCAAAGTGGATTGCAGAGATATTAGAGTCGAGTTAAAAGATATTAAAAGAAATGCCGCCTTGTCACCTGTGCGAGCAACTAATGGTTGAGTTGACGCTTAAACGGAATCTTTAATATGGAGATGAGGTCAGTCCAAATCGCACTTTGGAACCAGAAACAGCATCAGCAACAGCAGCAGCCGATACGCAATATCGACGTTCGAGTTGACGATTTACAATGTGCAGTGAAGCACAGGATAAAGTTGCCAAGGTACAAATTATAAACAATCAAAACTTTTTCTGCTAATCCCAATGTTCGTGCGGGACGTGCCACAGCATAGGTCATGGAATTGCAGTTGCAAACTTTGTTCCACTTTGACATGCTGCTTTGAAAGAAATATGTGTGTACTAGTTAATGCCTGAAAAAGGGTTGACTTTTAATCTACCAAAGTCCAAAAACAAAACTGTGCTTCAGGCAAACATGTTATACACTCTCGCACAAGTTTTAGATATCTCTGGAGAATGCTTACGTAAAATGTGTGCAAATCAAATGAGGTTTTTAGAAATATGATTAGGTCCAATCTATGCTGGTTCCTAAACTATTTCGATCGAAATTCTTAGGTAACCGCTGTTATGAAGCGATAATATATGTGCGTACAGTGAGTGCTCCGTAAAATGCTCTACATAACATAGAAAAAATAATCTTTGCTCGTAAATAAGCCAACTTATTCGATTCGCAAGCATATGCCATTGCAGGGTCATTTGTTTGACTGCGTTCTAACACATATGCCGCACCGTGTAGCGCAACACAGCTGAATTTGAGGAAGCCAAAGACCATGCAGCAGATAAGATACCAAAATATCGGTATCGACTGCCAAAGCAGTCGAAGTCGAAGCCATTCGCTGGCCGGATCAGTCGCTGTCCAAGTGCTGCGAGTTTCAGATCGTCAGTCAGTCGATCGGCAGAGAGCCTCCGCACAAGTCGAGTTGTTCGTTCTGGTTTGCACAACGCGCTGTTCAGAGAGCGATCGAGCTAGCGAGAGAAATACAGAGGAACAGAGAGAGAGACAGAGAGAGGGAGAGAGCATAGGTTCAAGTGTTTATGTATACATAGAGAACTATTCATTGGGACCGGTTGAAAGTGCACAACAGATCCAATGAGCAGTGATAAAAAAGTGCGGCGTCGTGTTATAACGCCGACAACAGACGCCAGCAACGCGGATCCGCTGCTGAGGCAGCCACAGTTGCACCTGTATGAAGATGAGGTGAGCTGGTACTCAAGGGCAATCAATTAGCGGTCAAGAAGTTTCTTTAAATGGAACAAGTGTCGGATAGGTGTGTGTGTGTGTGTAAATGCGCGTGTGTGTTTGTATAAGTATGTTGTAGATACTCATTGATTAGATTACCTAATTCGGGTCGTGCTTTGTTGAATAATCAACAACAACAACAAAATGTACTGTGTTTCGAATATTAGCCATTTGCAAATTTAACAGGTGTTTGAGTGTGGCAGCTGCAACTGCCGTACGCGTTCCCATTTTCGAGCCCAGACACAGTCAGTTGCTCTTCATGGCCTTATCGAGGCAACAATTTCGGCGGCAACAGCTGCACAGAGCGCAACGTGTTGGACCGTTGATAAGATAAAGTCGTGATGGATTAAATCGAACTATTAGCACATTTTACTCGGCACACAAAGTATCGCCTGTGCTTTAATTAAACACTGATTCACCTAGGCATATCTTGAACAAACATCGAGAACCAACCAAAAAGACCGCAACCACTTGAAATATTATACTAACCCATTCTTGCCGCTCTTTTCACACCCAACAGCAGGCCAACTGCTGCGAACGAGTTTTCGTTAGCGGCGACAAGATCAAATGGTATTGGTCGCCCGCGTTTATTGGCTTCTGGTTGCTCATCTATAGCGCCATATCCATACCCGCCTCGAATCACCTGCCACGACCGCTTAGTATCAAAGATGAGGCCAAATATCCGGAACGCTTCATCGCCGAGCGCGCCGAGTTGAATCTGCAGCGTCTGGTGGCTCTGGGACCACGTGTGGTGGGCAGCCGCGAGAATGAAATGGGATCCATTCAGGTGATCACCTCCACCATGCAGAACGTGCGAGCTGAGCTGGGCGCTGTCCATGAGATCGAAATGGACGTGCAGGTGGCCTCCGGCAGTTACATACACTGGAACGCAGTCAACATGTACCAGAGCATACAGAACTTTGTGGTAAAGATCAGTCCCAAGGGCTCGAACAGCAGCACCTACCTGCTGGTCAATAGCCACTTTGACACGGTGCCGGCGGGTCCTGGCGCTGGCGACGATGGCTCCATGGTGGCCGTCATGATGGAAACGCTGCGTGTGCTGGCCAAATCAAAGTACGCGCTGAAGCATCCGGTTGTCTTTCTGTTCAATGGCGCTGAGGAGAATCCCCTGCAGGCCTCACACGCCTTCATCACGCAGCACAAGTGGGCCAAGAACTGCAAGTGGGTGACAGATATCAGCTCCTGCCCAACATAGTCCTTAACTTATTATTATTGTTTATTTGATTGGCAGAGCGCTGATCAACTTGGATTCCGCTGGAAATGGCGGTCGCGAGATTCTCTTCCAGTCCGGTCCTAATCATCCCTGGCTTATGAAGAGTTATCGCCGCGCCATCAAACATCCCTATGCCTCGACCATCGCCGAGGAGATGTTCCAGCACAACTTCATACCATCCGACACGGACTTCCGCATATTCCGTGATCATGGCGCTGTGCCCGGTCTGGACATGGCTTATCAGTATAATGGTTATGTCTATCACACCCGCTACGATCGCGCAGAGATTTTTCCACGCGGCAGCTTCCAAAACACCGGTGACAATCTCTTGGCTCTCATCCGAGAGATTTCGAGTGCGCCGGAGCTAGAGGACACCTCGGTAAGGAGCAAATGAAGCTCAAGTGATGAGCAGGAGAATGAACTGCAATCTCTTCGTAGAAACACGCCGAGGGACACACCGTTTACTATGATGTCATGGGCTGGTTCTTGGTCTTCTATACCCAAACGGAGGGCATCATTCTCAATGTGGTTGTCTCCATAGGCGCCATTATTGTCTGTGGGCTTGCCATCAAGCTGATGGCCACCAACTCGGGCATCAAGCTGCCGAAGATGCTCAAGCGCACGCTGCACACGTTCATTTTGCTCATCCTAGGCGTGGTAGCGGGCGCTACGCTGCCCCTTATCATAGCCGTGTTCATGGATATAACGCACATGCCGCTCTCCTGGTTCACACACAATTGGCTGATGCTCGGCCTGTACTTCTGTCCGTTCTTCTTTGGCGTGGCCATTGTGCCAGCACTCTATTTCCACTATACCGCGACTGTGAGTATTGATTTGACCAACTCGAACTGTAGCTGGTGGCTTATGCGCTGCTTTCTAGGATCGCTTTCCAATTGGACAACGCGTGCAGCTGCTGATGCATTGCCACTGCCTATTCCTGGCCCTGCTCACCCTGGTGCTGACCATCTGCAGCATTCGCTCCGCATTTGTTCTTATGCTGACCTGCATGTTCTACACGGTGGGCCTGGTCTTTAATCTGGCCACCAATCTGCACAGCCGCAGTAAGTTAAGCTAAGTGGCTGAATGGTCTCCAGAACCAACTAATTCTCGTCCCAATTTTCACTTTGTGCAGATGTTGTCTGGATCATACCGCACATTGTGAGCTATGTGCCTCCGTTTCTGTTTTTTGCCTATTTCTCGCACGGCTTCCTGGTCACCTTCATTCCCATGTTCGGTCGCTTTGGCGACAAAGTTAATCCGGATCTGATTTTGGCTGTCTTCAGCGTTGCAGTGGGCATGCTCACTGGCGGCTTTATCGTACCCGTGCTTCACATGTTCCGTAAATCGAAGACCATCATCTGCGCCCTGCTGGGCGTCACCTTGGTATGCATCATCATTGCTGCTACTCCACTGGGCTTCCCCTACAGGCCAGAGACGAGTGTGCAACGTTTCGCCGTATTGGTAAGTCGCATGGCAGGCATGATTCCCTAGAAGTCAGTCTATAAACTCGGTCTTACAGCACGCTAAGCGCACCTTCCACGATGCCAACAACAATGTTCGCCGCTCCGAAACTGGTTACTTCATCATGCCACAGGACAGACGCACCTATTCCGTAAAAAGTAAGTGTTCCATTAAAAGATTTATTGTCGCATTATCTGAACTGTTTTTCCCCCTGCTTTGCAGATAAGGTAATTAACATGACTCTGGCCAGATCTGTAAAAGAGGAATGTCTCAAGGAAACATTGTGTGGTTTTCCACTTTACAATATGCGCTGGCACAAGACCAGGTAAGGCCAAGAGCCACAACACTCACCAGGAGATCCAACTAATTCGTTTCCATTCTGAAACTCGTAGGGACCGTGGCTTATGGATACCCGCATCGGAGCCTGTGCTGGGCACGCTGCCTGCGGCTAAAGTCGTATCCAAGAAGCAACTGACGCCCACCAAAATCCGCTTTGAAATGGAACTGAGTGGCCCCGATCACATGGGTATCTTTGTACAGCCATTGAATGGCTCCCAAGTTGTTGGCTGGTCGTTCCATCAGGCGCCATTACGCCTGAACTATAAGCCGCCTTATTATATCTACTTCTCCTACGGCGTCAATGGTGATCCGCTGAAGTTCTGGCTGGAGCTTGAGGTGAGTTCGTGCTTGGTTTTACTCTCCAAGCTTCTGATTAACGTTCGTATTTACTCTTTTTAGAAACCCAGCGGAGATTGGAACACTCCTACGCTGGAGTTGGGCCTACATGGTCATTGGATTCACCACCAGGAGTTGCATACAGAAGATTTTAAGAAGTTCCTTAGCAGTTTTCCCAGCTATGTGGACGCAACTCCCTGGCCGGCGTCCTATGACACATGGCTGTACTGAAAATATATGAAATTTATTAGAAATGGCAAATCTAGATAAAGTCTATACATATACTTAATAGTATTAAATATATCATATATATTCTATGTGCCGGAAGCTAAGGAGAAAATAAATATCAATGCAGGTTTCCGTAAACTAAGACCATACATACAAGAGATATGAAGTTTCTTTCGGTTCCATTAGACGGTAGCAAAAAAATTAATTAAATTTCAGTTCTTATTAATCTAATGGCTGAACCCATATTAGATAAGGATTTTCGCTACCTTGGCAACTAGTCATTTGTAAGTTACAGTTTTATATTTTTACTTTAAAAGCCGATCAGGGCTTTTGGGGTCTCGCACTAGCAAAGAGCCTGTTCCGTAATTTATCCATACTTATTTAAATACAATCATAGACAACAAATAAGACAAACTTCGGCTCATCACTTATTGGAAAGTGTTTTCAATAATAGTTATTCGTATCTTTTACATTTCCCAATTAATGTTCGGATATTATTATATCTTAAAATAGAATTTTAAAGTGGAAAAGGTCTACATCACAAATAGACGGAAAACTACCTCACCTTACGTCATTTAGATATGGCTGCTATAATAAATGTTTGGGCTGCCGGGTTAAGCACTGATTACGAGGCTAATGATAATTTTACTCTGTATATGAAGTGAAGTAAAGAATGTATAGGCGTTTAGCATTATTAAAAAATATTTTGCCATTTCGCAGTCTCTGCCTAAGGTTTTTTATTCGATCTGTTGTTAGTTGTTCTAAATTTGTGATCGATCAGAGGTATGAGAATTGTATTGTTCAATTTTAGGCAAAAACCAGTTTAATTTTTTTATGTTGGATTCGAAGAAGAACAGCGATGGTTTTATGTATTTTCATTTGGCTTCAATTTTCTCCATTTTTTTTTCATTTATCGCAGCGGTTATTATATCTCCGATATTATTTTGGAGACGATAAAACACGTTGTCAATCAGATCCAGACGAGAAAGTAGGCTGCAAAGCACACAAATTAGAATTTTCAGAAGTAATTAAATGAATTGCATAATTGTAGATAATTACAAGTCCAGATCTGACTCGATTTCCGTATTTTCCTTAATGAGAAGCCTGCAAAGGACAAAAAAATATTCATGGAAATGTTAAAAGAAGTTTTTTGAATTCAATTTCTTAACTTACAATTCTTCAAGCTTGCTTTCATCGAGCGGCTGGTTTAATTCATGTCCAGCAGCCCATTCCGGATAACGGGGTGCCTTAAAAAGCCCACAAGTCACTCTAAACAACAGCTTTCTTATATAATACCATAAGAATGACGGCTGGAAGCCAACAGTCGTTGTGGCTGTTCTATATGATAACACGATGGCGGCAAGGAACATATTCTAAAACAAGGTCAAGTTTTATAGAGCCCAACTAAGTAAAGCAGCTTACCATTAATACGAAAAAAATTAACAACACGTAGGTCAGAAAGAATATGGGACCCAATATTTGGGACTCGTGTTCCAATTGAAAGTAGTCGAAATCAGTAACCAACAAGCGCAACATTGTTAAGAAGGCAGTTGGAAAATTTCGAAAGTGTTCACTCGTGGCACCAAAAAGGAGAAAGCCAAGATTTCCATAGGCATAAAAAGCAATGAGGAACATGATGGAAAATGCCTCCAAGTCAGCTGAAGCCTAGAATAAAAAGTTTAAGCCAATTATATAGATTAAATTACAATATAAAAGGACTATTACCATCTGCATAGCAACGCCAAGGGTTCGTAGAACTGGATTAAAGTCCATAAAGCTAAGCAGATTCAGCCAGGAGAGAAACAACAAGATTCCGAAAGCATCCTCATGAAGCGAATACGTTAGGATGAAGTAATCCAATGAAACGAAATGGTTAGTTACTGCGTTAATCTGATGATCGATTATGTGCACGTAAAAAAATAGATAGATTGTATAAATGAGCGCCACATAAATTATCTAATGGAAGAAATATTCTTTAAGAAATAGAGCAACAATATTTTCGGGCTCAGCTTACAACTATACAAGGTATTATCAATATTTGCTGTTTTGTAAAGTAATGCTTATAGCCTTTCAGATAGAGTTTCTTGATCTCAACGTAGGTATAATACAAATTGATTACATATACGACAACGGCGCACCCCACAATGAGTCCACCAGATGAGGTGAAAATTGGATTCGAATAGATGGATTCCGAGTTGTATTTTGTATTTATTAGGCCGGTGGGCAATATCTCGAAAATTAATCTGCAATTTGTAGAACATTATGTTGAACAATATTATCGATAAGGTTAGGAAATAAAATACTTAGTGGCAATTATCAGATCCAAATTTAAGTTAATCATATTCATTTCAAGTACAACGACACGTGAACCACGATTCAACCACTCAATTTTTTTAAGGTGTCGTATCAGGCCCATATTGACATCCTTATTGTATGATAATGGTCTCACATACCCTCCGCTGTGATAGGTATGTACCCTGCCCCGAATAGGTAAGGCATTTAGCTCATCCATTGTTTTATACTCAGTCCTGCAGTAAGTTGGATAGAGAGAGGGAGAGAGAGAGAGAGATAAACATAATTACTTTTATGGAAATTTACATTTACCCCTTATAGAACGGCTCCTTGAACTCATTGTCAGCCGAATAAGCCGCCATACATGTGTTATAGTATCGAGCGAAAGCATGATGCACATGGCAACTGTTACCTTTTACACGAATCTGTCGTAGTCTCGGTGCTCCAAGTAGTAAACTTTCATTTAGAAATAGACGACCATACAAGGTGGGTCTAGTGTTAATAAAACGTGGCTGCCATTTAACGCTTTCATCATAGACGACGCCATGCAGCAAGGGAAGGACCATAAATTCCATATAATCCCAGAAATCTGGTATTGTAATGACCTGATCGAAAGATATAGTCGAATTTCTCGGCGTATAGTCAGTTCTTTGAAGTAGTTGCCGCAAGCTCCTGGTAAAATCATGCTGGTGATGCGTGGTCAATCCATTGCCCATTAAGGTTACGGCTATCAAGTAAATATTGAAGATGATCAGATGCAGCAAGGCATATTTGGTACCCTTCTCCGTTGTGTAGGTCAAGGCGCCGTACGTAGATTGCAACGGCTTCACTTTTTCCATTTTTCTATTTCTTCAGTTAGTTAAGTTTATCAGATAGTTTGACTTATCAATTATGATTTAGTACGACGTTTAGTTCTATGCTGTATATAATTTAAAATAGTTTACAAATAATAGAAAGCATCGCATAGTTCTTTTAAATAGCGAAATTTAGTTGCTGGGGAACCGAAATATTGTGTTGGTAATACTGTTCTTTTCGATTTATAGTTATTGTTTTCGGGTTTTTTTTAAATATTGTTTTTAAGGTAAGCATCATTGCTATAAATGTTTATTTACCTTTCGGTAATAAGATATATGCCGACATAAAGCTTAATCTAACCGCTGGTCATCAAACCATAAACCCGCCAAGTTGCCGCATGCTATCGCCAAATCGTAATCTGCAAGACATTATCGGCGATAAGCCCCAACTTAGTGGCATATAGCCTAAATATTTGCTTTACATTTGGTTAACTGTGTCAGTTTTCCAACTCATGTATTGTGGCGCGGTCAAATTTCTTGTGCTTAGTCCAAAATCCTAACTAAAGGTCAGCAATAAAGGTAATGTTCCGACTCTGCATTCAATTAAATATATAGTAAAAGTGAATTTGAAATGAAAATTTGACTGACTTAGACAAATAAATACACAAAAACGTGCAGAATTGTCGAATCTCACAATATCAGTTCTCCAAAAAAATAAATTTCTTGAGTGCATTAATTCAAATTTCAGAAATACAAAATGTAGTTCATTCGAAAAGAATTGCTTATATCGCAAGCTTCTATATGATAATGTTTGTAATTTTAAGTATTGATAGATTAGTTGGGGGGTTTTTATGCTCGAGTCGGATATTGTTAATGTGCTGCTTACCCTTTCACAGATGACCTTCTCCAGCATTGACATAACAACTGAGAAGTCGTCGAAAAAAGGCGGCGACAAGTGGCCTTGGTATGGGGCGCCCATCTTTTGTGTAATCTGGTTTACGCTTTTCTATGTGACCGCCATACCAAGCTTTTTCTCCTATCCGAAAATGATCTATGTGCAAGATGAAGGCAATCACCCGGATGAGTTTATAGGCGAGCGTGCCAAGATTCAGTTGGCCGAGTATTCGGCGATTGGTAACAAAATGACTGGATCGATAAATAATGAGGAGCATGTCGTTAATTTTCTGCTGCGAGAGGTGCAAAAAATTGTGGATCAGTCGCGCACCGATCTATATGACATCGTTTCGGAGGTGCAGTACTCCTCGGGCGCATTCTACCTGTGGGATGCGGCCACCAGCTATGACAATGTGTCCAATGTTGTGGTCCGGATCTCAAGAAAGGATACAGCCAATGACAACTATTTGTTGGTTAACTCACATTACGATTCAGAGGTGAAAACGCCGGCGGCAGGTGACGATGGCGTCATGGTGGTCATAATGCTGGAAACACTGCGCGTAATCGCACGCTCCGAGAGACCGCTGGCTCATGCCGTGGTCTTTCTCTTCAATGGCGCCGAGGAGTCGAACATGCTGGGCGCCCATGGTTTCATCACAAAGCACAGATGGGCAGCCAATTGCAAGTGCGTAGACTCCGGCTATTCTTGAATTAGTAAATCTTGAATCTATCATTCGTTTTAGAGCGCTTATCAATCTGGACTCGACGGGCTCGGGTGGTCGCGAGGTGCTGTTTCAAACGGGACCCAATCATCCTTGGCTGATGAATTACTATAAGAAGTATGCGCCACATCCCTTCTCCATAACACTGGGCGAGGAGCTGTTCCAGAATAACTTTATACCATCCGATACGGACTTTCGCATATTCCGCGACTACGGCAATGTTCCCGGCCTGGATATGGCGCACGCCCTCAATGGATATGTCTACCACACCACATACGACAACTTTAAGAACGTGGCGCGCGGTACCTATCAGACCACTGGCGATAACGTTTTGGCCTTGACCTGGGCGCTGGCCAATGCTCCTGAGCTCGATGATACCTCTGCCCACGAGAAGGGACACGCTGTCTTCTTCGACTACCTCGGCTGGTTCATTATCGTCTACACGGAATCTGCCAGCATTGCTATTAATATAGTTGTTTCTGTGGCTGCTCTAATTTGCATTGGCATCTCCGTTTATTTTATGACCAAGAGCAATGACGCGGATGCACCGAAGGCTGTGGCCGTGCGTTTCGGCATTATCTTTCTGGTGCAGCTGGGTGCAGTGATTATTGCCTGGGGATTGACCATACTCGTGGCTGTCTTCATGCATGGCGTTGGCCTCGGAGAGTCCTGGTATTACAGCATTTGGATGACATTCGGCCTGTATTTCTGCCCCATGTTCTTTGGACTGGGCTTGCTGCCTGCCTTCTACATAGGCTGGACCAAGCACAAAACAAACATGAAGCTCAACCAGACCATTGCCTGCTTTATGCATGCTCATTGCATTTTAATTGTATTCCTTTGCCTGCTCCTGACAGGTCTGGGCATACGTTCAGCTTTCTTTCCGATGATAGGTTTGTTCTTCTACACTATCTCGATGATTGTGCAGTTGATCCTTAAGGTGACCATTAAGAGTAAGTGGTTCATCCAACATTTGATGGATTCAGCTAATTGGTATATACTCTTCTTTTGCAGAGAGCTTCTTTATGTCGGTACATTTGGCTTGCCAGTTGTTGCCTTTCTTCTACTACACCTATTTGAACTATGTCTTTTTGCTGGTATTCGTACCCATGCAGGGACGCGATGGGCCTGACAGCAAACCAGATATGCTGATTGCAGCCTTCATCGCCTTGATGACGATGCATTTCGCTGGATTCATAGTATGTCCTTAAGGAAAAAATAATATTATTGCTTTGCATATATCAAATCTTCGATTTACAGATACCAATTTTAAACAAATTCCGCAAATCGAAGATCTTTATCTCAGTGTTTGGAGTACTTACCATTATATTCATTATATTAGCCGCCACGCCTGTGGGCTTCCCTTTCAAAGAGGATCTTGCCGCACAGCGCTACTATGTTTTGGTAAGATCCTTTTCCATTGATTCCAGATCCATCTTAATCCAACCTTTCATTTAGCACACCCAACGCACACGGCACAATGCGGATAATAGTATAACACAAGAAACTGGATTCTATATACAACCCGTCGATACTCGATACTCCGAGCTTTATGATACAACACTTAAGAATGTGGAGCCCGAGAGCTGGATCACGGATAATTGTGCTTCGGAGCCCTATTGCGGTCTACCGCTATATAATGGACGTTGGTTGGATTGGAAGTAGGTCCCAAACGTTAATTTGGAATAATCTTAACTGACCTTAATTATTTTGATCTTAGGGATTCGGCGCGTTGGATCTATAGTACGGCGCCAGTGCTTCCGGTTGTCACAGAGCTCAACGAGATATCGAGACAGTCTATTAGCCTGAACAAAAAGCGTTACGAGTTCAGTTTAAAGGCTGGTGATCGTATTGTCATGTACGTTGATCCCATGGAGAAAGTGAAGATTACAAACTGGTCGTTCGATGAAACCGTCTTGGTGGACGGCCATACTGCGCCATATTTTATATACCATGTCTCCTCCATGATTAAGGAGCCCTACAATTTCTGGCTGGAGTTTGAACACGATGCAGCCAATACAGATGGACCGTACTTCAAGCTGGCTGTGAGTGTGCATTTCCTTCATCATCCGGAGTATTACACGAGCGAGTTTAAGGAGTTTCTTAGCACCTTTCCGGCTTGGACATATACTACCGATTGGTTTTCCTCGTATGAGAGTTGGATTTTTTAAAAGCTACAAACGAATAGTTTACAAATTTCCGTAACTTAATAAATTATTTAAAATATATTTTAACACATATATAAGCTAATCGTTTCGTTAGGAGTTAATTTCAATTAAATTCTATATTTTTAATTTAAATACAACTTTTGTTCGTTGGATGTCCGCTTGTGCGAGTATCATATGTGAATTTGTGATTAGAGTATGGATGAATACGAAAACTTAACAACAGTTCAGATTTCCGAACTATGAGTAGTGAGTTTTGAATATCAAATGTTAAATTAGACATTTTAGCAGCTCTTAGAGTTGCCAACTATTGTAGGAACCAATCCATGAGTTGACATGCGTCCAAGATGGAAACCTGGCCAAAAACTCTCGATAGTCTTCCTCTATAAACATATCATCGTGTATTCTATGTCCCATTATGGCGATTTTAAACGTTGCTCCAGACCAATCGGTACTTTCACGCTGTTAGAATCGATTATACAAAATAAGAAAATTCAACTATGAAGAAGGGAACAGCATTTGAGCAAATCTTACCTCAAATTCCAAATTAAAGCGCAAGGGTGTCGGATCTAAGGCATAGGACCAATAAACGTAGTGAGGCGGCGCCAAAGACTTTTCCAACGGCTCCTTGGTGAAGGTCCAATCCACCAGTTTGGCATTATTTACTGGATCGATAAATATGCTTGCATGATCCGGCCCAGAAACCTCTAATGTGAACATTATATTCGTCGACGAAGTGCTCTCTTTGTTTATTATGCTCAACGTGGGCAAATAGTCCTTGTTTGGCTCGGGACCAGGCACCCAATAGCTATTATCTCTGCAAAGATTAACAGGTTTTAATTATGGTATAAAAACTTAATGTAATCTTTGGCACTTACATTGCCTTCAGCCAACGCGAGCTGTAAATGGGAAAACCGCACAAAATTTCCGTTTCACACGTGGCACGATCAGCCTTTGTGAAGTTGCTTCCATCAAAGAGTATATTATCCAGCGAGTTAGGATGCCGATCCATGGGCATCACATAATAACCGGCATCGGTATGATTAACTGTGCTTGCAGCATCTGCGTTGTGGAAGGTGCGTGTCGTGTGCTGAAATTGGGAAGTAAAAATAAGACATTGAGAATAAACTCTTTAGATAAACTACGCTTAATGCATTACCACAGTAAAGAATCGCTGAACTGCTGTCTTCTCCACATATGGGAACGCCGCGGGCGTGGCAGCCAGAATAATAACGATTATCGTACAGATGCCAAATAGCGAGATGATGGTCTTGGATTTGCGGAACAGGCAGAGCAAGGGTATCAGGAATGGAGATAGCAGCAAACAAAATAGGGCCG